ATGGGTCAGGGGTGGCCTTGGCAGGGCTGGGAACGGTTGGACTGGATGAGCTTAAAGGGCTTTTCCATGATTCTCTGAAAGGAAAGGGCAGGAAGTCCTCCAGAGAGAGGGGTGTGAAGTCGTCCAGCACACGGTGCAGATGTTTGGAAACAGCATCTCTGTTGTTGGCTCTGGTGTTAGTGAAAGGCAAGATCCTCTTCTCCTGGAGCTTGGAGGTGGGGAGCGGCCACACTTTCCCAGCTTCCATCCTTTTCCGGTCTGGAAGTCCTCCCCAAGTTGCAGGGCAGGGGGGATTTCTGCTGGGAGATGCGGAATTTCCCAAGCCACCTGTTTATCACAGTCCCCAGGGGCTTCATCCTTGCACTCTGCTTCCTTTCCAGGCTCTAGGCTCCCATCCAGCTCTCTGTTTATCTACTGTCCCTTCTTGGACTGTGTATTCCCTACTGCAGATTCACTTTCTGCCTCAGTCACGTACTTGTGAACTTGGGCAGGAGCCTCATAGAATGCCCAGAAAGGGAGGAGAGGCGTGCTGGGAGCTCATGCAGCTTGGTGCTGGGATAGCTCTTGGTTTACACTGAGGAGCTGTCCCTGGAGCAGGGAGCTCCCTGTGCCTGCCTCACCTTTCCAGGTCTGGGATGCTCTTTCAGACCCATTACTTGGGGTTGTGCCATCATCACAAGTGAGCACGGGCTCTCCTGCAACACTGAGGCTTGGGGAGCTTGAAGCCACCTGAGCATCTCGAGCAGAGTCCTCGTGGCTTCAGCTCTGCTCTAGTGTGGGAGCTGTTTGCCAGGTGCTTCTTTGCCCACACTTGGCTCTGTCGTGGTTCTTTGGTTGTCGGGGTGTGAAGTACCCCCTGAACCGAAACAGAGCAGTGTAGCCTGTGTGCTGAGGTGGGACTGTGCTCATGTGTGCCGTGTCCTGTACCTCGTGCTGCTGGGCCAGGGATCTCTATGGACACAGTGTCCATAAGGACACACAAAGGAGAAGTGTTTCCCTTCTCAACACCCAAAGTGTGTGGGGTCTGAGGAAGATTACAGACCCACACCAGACCTGTGCACAGCAGTCGAGCCTGGGGAAAGAGCTGCCTTCATCTCCTGAGTTTTAATTTCTTACAAGACAAGAAAGTGTTTTGTGAGCCATAAATGCTGCTGTAAGGGGATCTGTAGCTGGCTTTGCTGGAGCTTTAGCAGCTTATCTTCAGAAAGAAGTAATATCCACCTAATGCTTTCAATAAAGAGTGTACCTGAGGCCGTGTCTTTAGCCTCCCTTTTCCAGATGCCCCTGGGAGGCAGGGTTACCGGTGACTGCTGTGTTAGTGCTGCTTGTGCTTCCCTCTGGAGCTGGGCTTGTGCTGAGAACTGGGTGAATTGTTGCTCTGAGTACGTGAAGCAGAGAGGAGGAACAGAGGCAGCGAAGGCCTGAAAACAAACCACTTGTGCAAGTGTGCAAAGCCTGTGCAAGAAAATGCATCACACTGCAGCAGCTTGGAATGCTCCAGGAGAGCCTGGGCGAAGGCTCCAGAGCTTGGCTTTGTTGGGGTTGAGTCAATTGAAACCACAAGAGAGGAGACTGAGATGAGCTCTTAGGCAGAAGCTGTTCGCTGGGAAGGTGTTGACACAGGGTGCCCAGAGAAGCTGTGGCTGCCCCATCCCTGGCAGTGTTCAAGGCCAGGTTGGACACAGGGGCTTGGAGCAAGTGGAAGGGGTCCCTGCCCATGGCAGGGGTTGGGACTGGATGAGTTTTAAGGTCCCTTCCAACCTGAAGCATTCCATGAATTCGGGAAGAGGCAAAAGTGATGCTGCTGGGTGCCGTATGTCCTGGGAACCGTCTGCCTTTGGGTGAATCATGGCCCTTGCACTGGCTCCGAGGGAGCCTGTGGAGCAGAAAATGAGGTAGAGCCATCCATAATGTCCCACTTGGAAGCAGGAGCCGAGTCGAGCCCATGGCTGCACTGAAAGGCAAGGTAATGTTTATTTCATCTTAACTGCAGGCTTCTCTCGGAGCTGCTGTCTGGGCCTTTGGGGGGGTTAGCTGCTTCTTTCTTCTCTTGCTGTGTGGCAGGAGGTCTTATGATGTGGTTAGTCTTGAGGTGCTATTTAGCTCCACATCAGTGGGCTTATTCCTTGCCTGGAGACATGTAATGTGTCAGGTTACTGACATATCTCCTTGTGAAGGGGAAGAGCAAGCCTCACGGGCATCTGCTTTCAGCAAGAAACAATACTGCTTTTCTTCTGAAAGCATAGCATCAACATGGGGAGAAGAGGAACTGGTGTGGGATTAGCCCTGCTGAAGGAAGGGCTGGCCAGCTCGTGCTCCAGCTCAGTCCCTGCCTGAAGGAGCTCATAGGCCCAGCACCTCCTGTGACCCGTAGCTGTGCTCTGGAAATAGTGCCTCTGCTGCAGGCAGGATTCATCCTCAAAACCCGTGGTACCTTTAACTTGGGCGGGGGCACATCCCAAAGTTAGAGCAGATGAAGCTGGTGGTGGCTCAAAAACTTCCCTGCCCAGTGAGGATAATAACATGGAGCCTTCAAAAGTGGGATGAAATGACATGGTCTCGTGTGAGGTGTCCCTGCCCGTGGCAGGGGGGTGGAATTGGGTGATCTTAAGGTCCTTTCTAACCCACAGCAGTCTGGGATTCTGTGAAACACAGCACTTACAGCTTGGCTTCCCAAATATCACAGATCCCAGGCTGGAGGACGGAGAAGGGTCTCCCTGAAGGAGCAGGCTTCAAAACCCAGCCCCTGAGACCTCAGAAAGGCAGAGCTGCTCTCAGCGTGCCACCGCTGCGGTGCTTCATCCTGGGCATGCTTCTCTGTGCAGCTTAACCTGGAGCCTGGCCCTGCTTGTCGCTGCAGGCAGCTCTGCCTCCTCATGCAGCCACCCCGGTGAGCCCCATCTGCCAACAGAGCTGCAGCTCTGACACTGCAGTGGCTGCAGATGTCATCTCAGAGGCAAGACACTGGCTGTAAGGCCTTGAGCTGCCCTGCCACCCTGCAGGCATTTCTAGGCCTTTTAGACTATAAGGCCTTTTAGTGGAGGCTTTTAAACTGCAGCTTCTGCTCTCTGAGCATCCCCTTTGGGGAAGAGAAAGCAGGAGGGGTGATGACCTCTTCCAAAAGGTACTTTCTTGTGCACCATTTCCACCCTCTGTGCCTGTGAGGGGATGCCTGAAAGGCCAGGGGGGGACAAGCCATGCTGGAAATATGCTCTTGTGTGTAGTGTTTGAAGATTGAGCCCCCCCATCCCCTGCCAGAAAGGGTTACCCAGCCCCATCAGTGCTCACTCCCCTCAGTACCCCCATAATGTCCCTCCTGTCATCTTCCATGGTCTGGATCTAGATCCTGAGCTCAGAGAGGAGCACTGAACTGCCTGCTCCTAGTCCTGCTTGTGGGGTGGAGAGGTGCCTCTTGCTGCATCAGCTGCCTGATGGGCTCTGCCAGAGCTGCTGCACTGGGGTCTTCTCCTAACCCAGAATAGCTTCATTTAACAGGGCTTTTCCCTTTATTATATAAACTAACCTGACTTTAAAACTGATCTGAATGCCTTTTAGGGGAAAATCAGGATACCAGTTAAAGCCCAGTATAGCTATTTTTTGGTCTTTTATTGTGCTGCTGCCTTTTCTTGTGCATATGGAGATGCAGATGGGCTCTGGTTTGCATGGCTTAAAGGCACGTGAAGTGACTGTCCTGCTCCTAAGGAAGTGATACGGTATCTATACAGTTTCTTACTCGGGAATTTCCAACTTGTGCAACTCATTTAAATTGCAGGGGGTAGGGGGTTGCTGGTGACCACAGGACTTTCTTAGAACTGACAGTTGTGATGCAATATAAAGGGCTCTTTGTTTGCCTAAACCTTGGGAATTCAGCGTTTGAAAGGCGTGTTTCTGAGGGGCTCCATGAAGTTTGTTGCAGAGGCTGCTGCTAAAGCAGCTTCCAAAAGAAAAACGTGGATATTGTCCTGCCGAGCAGCAGAATGAACCGGGCCAGCCTGGGGCTGTAGGTGCAGCAGGGACGGATCCGCTCCCTGCTCCAACTTCCGAGCAGCCAGGAGCAATGGAGAAGGAAACGAAAAGGCGATGCTGGGGGTGCCAGCAGGCAGCTTCTGGCCCTCCTTGTGCAGCAGCGGGGAGCGATCTTGCAGGAGAAGAGGCAGAAACACCACGACAGAGCCTGTGGAGGGGAATGATCAGCGTTTGGGAAAACACTGGCAGCTCCCTGGGCCGGACTCGGTGCCAGACAGGAAGCCGGTGACGTGGAAGTGTCTCGCCGGGATCATGAATGGCCAGGCGTGCGCGCTCAGCCTCCGCTCCGTGCCCTGCCCCGGCTGAGGTAAGCGCAGGCACAGACCTTTGTGCCTCCTATCATGAGACAAGCCCAAAGAGCAGCCAAAGGCCTCGTCCCGTGGAGGTGAGCTGCCTTGGGTGTTGCCAGACTGGCTCCAAAGGCGCAGAACCTGCCTGCCGTTTGTGCCGCTCCAGCCCTGCTCGCTGTCGTTGCTCTGAGCCTTGCTGTCCGTGTTAAAATCTCTCCTTTGATCGTAGAAAACCAGGATCAGCTCGTCAGAAACAGCACAGAGCGGCTGTGGGAAGGTATTTGTGAAAGGATGGTGGGGAATTATGGAAAAAGGTGTCCATCTTTGCTGGGTTTTTTCTGTTTCGAAGCCACTTTTTGGGTGTGCTCTGTACGTTTGTTTCTCTTGTGAAGCCCTCGATGCAGCTGATAGATTGTGGCCGCTTTATCAAACCAGCATGGGTGGGTTTGTGTCCTGTATTGGAAGCGATGGTGTTAGCAGTGAAAACCGTGCTGGGAGGGAGGTGGAGGCTCGTTGCTCCCTTCTCCCTTCAGTGGGGACGGGGTGGCTGCACGAGCTCATCACCGCGGGCTGCAGTTAGAAGCAGGACGTTGAGGCTGGGCTCGGTGCGAGTGCCCAGCAGCAGCCCCATGTTGGTGTCATCTCCCCGGGCAGCAGCATGGCTTCCCTATAAAGGAAACCAGAGACACCGTTTCCCCGGAGAGCTCACTGGGGTTTGCTCAAGGGCTTTCTGAGCAGCACCGTGGCAGGATGTGAGCCCAGCGCTGGGGTCACTGGGAGGGAAGTGGCTTATGTCTGACCCCTCCCCAGCCTGCAGGAGCCTTCGGATTGCAGCTGCCTGCGGAACGAGACTTGGTTTTTTTTCCCCTCTGTTGAAAAAGGAAGCTCTTTGCCTCCGTGCCTACGAGCACACGTTGCAGAGACGGGCTGAGCAACAGCAAGAGCCATCTGCCGGGGCTTGAAGCGCAGGTCGGAGCTTGCTGACGTGCTGGTTTTGGTGCCTGGCTGATGTTCAACCCCTGCACGGTGTTAGTGGTGAGGGGTGTTGTTCAGGCAGGCTCTGACGGAGCAGTCATGGGACTCCTGGAAGAGGGTTTTGAGCCGTCCCGCTGCTGCGGGGGGGTTAGGATCCGGTGGGAATGCTGCTCGCTCCTGGAAAGCCTCGGGATGGCTGCAGCGTGTTGCAAGGGAAGAGGCAGTTCCAAATGGTTTAGAAGAGGTGACTGTCTTTTCATGTTTTTATACCCTCTCTCTGCATGTAAAAGTAACCAAGAGACAGGGAACCGACCGCTCCGGCTTCCTCTACCCAGAGCTTGGTTTAGCGTGAGCCTAGCTTGGATCTGCCATTCCCAGCTAGGGAAGAGGAGCAGCAGGGTGATTCCCATAGCCCTGCCCTGGCTTGCCATCAGCAGAAACCAGCGTTGGGACTGGAGCTGGGACTGCCCGGAGTTAGGAGAGAAAGTGAGCTTTTGGGGGAGGGAAGAGGGGACTCAGCCTGCGCTGGCAAGTTTCCTCCTTAACCAGCATAATTCCGAGCCGTTCCTTGGTGTACTTGGGAAAGGGGGCTTGTTTGTGTTCTGGACAGCCGCAGTGTGGGGCTGTCTGTGGTGGTTGTGAGCTCGGAGGGGTGGCCAGGGTGCTCCTGGAGCACCGGTGACATGTGCTGTAATCTTGGCTGGCGGGAGGGGAGGAGTAACCAGAATGTGCTGCAGGTCAGTTTGGGAGGGGATTCTTCTGTTTTATCTCATCTTTGAAGCCTGCAAATACCACTCAGATGCCTTGCGTGTCCCATTTCCTAATTGTTCCTAACCTCTCCTTTCTCTTCTGTGCAAAGGCAGCATCCCAGTGCTGCCCAAGCTGTGAGTCCTGCCTGTGGAAGTAGGTGTTGTACGTGTGATATCATCTTCAAGCAATGTCAGGGATGCGTTTGGTCTCTGCGTCTTCTTTCTTTCTTTTTTTTTTTCCTTTCTTTTTTCCTAGAGCTAAGTGTTTCTTTTAGCTCAGTTGCAGTCAAAAACCATAATTAAATAGGTTGCATCTGCTTGAAGTCTCAGCTACTCATTTTGCTAATGCCTTCAGACAGATGCTGAGTCGTCTGAGAGACAATTGCTGCTGCGTCGAGCTCCCTGCTTCTCATGGGTGATGTCTCTGTAGAAAGAGGAAGTTGTCTGTAGGATGAATACAGCCTCGGCACCAAATAAACCCTACTCAAAGTCCCTCCACCCTGCTCAAATGGCAGTTTCTTCTGGACTATGGTCAGTGGTTGCTTCTTGATGTGCAGTCACTGGCCAGCACCGATGTGAGTGCGGTCACAGTGATCAGACAGGAAATAGGTAGGAACAGTCGTACCATGCCAGGGATGCTGTTGGAGCTCTGCGTAGGGCGATGCTCCTGCTCCTTGATGGCTTCTTTGTTTGAAAGGACATTTCTCCATCTCCAGCATAAGGAAACCATCGCGTGTGAGTGTTCTCTGGGACTGATTTCCTGCTGGAACCAGCTGCAGACTCAGCACCTGCTCTCCACATTGCCGGTGACTCGAGGCTGATCCACCCTTTGCTCCGGACGTGGCACCGTGGCCGGGTGGGTGCAGTCCCCGGGTGCTGCAGGATGTGGTGAGGCTGTGACACAGCTCCGGGTAACCAGAGCTCTTGTCTGTGCTCAGATGTCGCTCTGTGCAGTTCACGACTTCCTCTAACCATGTCTGTGGTGTGACCAAGCACCTCCTAAAGACACGTTATGGGGGGATATCCTATTTTTCCAGTCACTGGTGGTGTCCCTCAGGGCTCGGTGTTAGGGCCATTGTTGTTTGATATCTTCGTTAATGATCTGGATGAGGGGATCAAGGGCACCCTCAGTAAATTTGCAGGCCACACCAAGTTGGGTGGGAGTGATGATCTGCTGGAGGATAGAAAGGCTCTGCAGGGGGATCTGGACAGGCTGGATCCATGGGCTGTGGCCAGTGGGATGAGGTTCAGCAAGGCAAGGCGCTGGGTCCTGCATTTGGGCCACATCAACCCCCTGCAAGGTTCCAGGCTTGGGGAAGAGCGGCTGGAAGGTTTTTCATGGGAAAAGGAGCTGGGGGTGCTGGTTGATGGAGCTGAACATGAGCAGCTTGTGCCCAGGCAGCCAGGAAGCCCCCAGCATCCTGGCCTGGATCAGCACCAGCGCAGCAGCAGGGCCAGGGCAGGGATCGTGCCCCTGCACTGGGCACTGGTGAGGCTGCACCTTGAATCCTGTGTTCGGTTCTGGGGCCCTCACTGCAAGAGAGACATTGAGGTGCTGGAGTGGGGCAGAGAAGGGCAGCGGAGCTGGTGCAGGGCCTGGAGCACAAGTGTGATGGGGAACTGCTGAGGGACCTGGGGGGGTCAGATGGAGAAGAGAAGGCTCAGGGGGGACCTGATGGCTCCCTCCAAGTGCCTGACAGGAGGATGGAGCCAGGAGGGGCTGGGCTCTGCTCCCAAGGAACAAGGGATGGGACAAGAGGAACCGGCCTCAAGCTGCACCAGGGCAGGTTTAGATGGAGCTGAGGAACAATTCCTGCCCCAGAGGGTGCTCAGGCATTGGAACAGGCTGCCCAGGGCAGGGCTGCAGTCACCGTCCCTGCAAGTGTTCACACAGCGTGGAGACGAGGCCTCAGTGCCATGGGTTAGGGGTGGCCTTTGCAGTGCTGGGCACGGTTGGATTTGATGCTCTTAAAGGCCTTTTCCAACCTGTCTGACTCTGTGGGTCTGTGATTTTCTTTCTTTCTTTGACTCCCCCACAGCAGCTGAGGGGGTCGCAGCAGTTCTGGACACAGCGAAGCCACGTGTGCTGTGGATTTACCTTCCTGCCCAGGGTGGCTCTCACTGGGCCACATTCAAATGCCTTTTCAGTTTCTCCCAACGCATGTTGTGGCCCATGTTGCAACAGGAGGTTGGATCGCTCCGCTTCTCCACAGAAGAGGTGACTGAGCCCGTTCCCACGGGAAAAGCAGCGCTTGGGAATGTTGAGTCTGGTCCTAACGGGACAAACTGAAGTGGTTTGGGTTTTCCACCTTGCTCTGAGAAAACAGGAGGCCTTGGTTTAAGTCTTTGTAATCTTTCTCCGGAGAAGAGATGCTGATTAGCACTGCACAGCATCTGTTAGGGATGGGCTGAACTGTGGCAGCCGTAGTGTTGACCTTGAATTTGGAATTCTCTTGGCAGCATATGAGGAAACTATTTACATATTCAAGCAAACTGTGGCTTCATAGAAATCAGGGGAGATTTCTGCTTGGTGAAAGGGATTCGTTTGCTTGCTTTCTTCTAAAACTCATGGAAATTCTTACTTGCCAGATTCCATAAGGCATCAGCTTTATTTAATTTCTGTTACTTTACTTATTCCTCTGCCCAGCACATGTAAAATAATATTCTTGGTGCGCATAGTTTTCTGCCTTAAGCTTCCATCAAAGACCAGCTTGACACAAATTATACAAGGGGATGGATGTGGGAACAAAGGAGGTATAATTAGCTACAGATAAACAGAGCTGTGTTTCTCGTCAGCATCCTTTTAGATCTCAACTTGTGTCTCACCCTCTCAGAGCTAATTCTTTTCCACAGACTGAAAGAGGAAGGCGAGCTTTCAACCAGCCTTCACCTTGCCGTGAGCTCAGCTGAAATGAAAAGTGGTTATGGTCTGCCTGCACCGGGAGAAGAGGCTGTGGCTGCTCTTAGAGCTCGTGGTGTTTCAGGATATTCTCTTTCCGGGTGTCTGAGCTCCGACTTCTTCTTCCTCTTCTTCTCTTTCTTGTTCCCCTCCACCCTTTCATGCCCTGTCTTTAGCACCACAACAGCGCACACATCTCCTGCTCAAGCAGTGGCTTTGTTGGAGTGTGTCTGTCAACAGATCTGAGCTCCAGTTGGCTTGCCATAACCTTACCTTTTAGGTGGGCTTGTTTCCAAAGTGGGGGAGCAGAGGTGAAAAATCTGATCCAGGAAAACCCAGCTTGTTTCACCCTTCTGAACTCTTTGGTGTATTGGAGCTGAGTAGGTGGTGGTGTTTCTCATTGCTTCTGATGGGTTTGGGTCTCAATGGGGTGAATTGCAGCCACAGCTCTTCCCTATGGGGCTGGTTTCCTCATCCCCACACCGAGTGTGTAGGGAGACCTTGCAGGGGTGACTCTTGGCACCTCTGATGGCCGAGCTGCCGCTCTGCTGCAAGCTATGCTCTACAGAGAAGGGGGAGGAAAGAAACCTGGCATTGGCTTCCCCCCCTTCTCAGCTGTGGGGCGAGGGCCCAGATGGCATCCCAGATCTCTGCCTGTGGGATTTACACAAGGTTTCCTGTTGAGAGAGCTGCTCCTAATCGCTGCCCTTCTGTGCTGCGTTGCAGATCAGGACCAGATGAACAGAGGAAGGTTTCTGTGAAGATCAGAAGCCCTGCCCCGGGAAGTGGCCCAGCAGCGCCTGTCATCGCTACGGACCTGGAAAAGAAAGAAGTAGAGGAGAAAAATGTCCCATGCTTTAAAGCAAGTGTTCAATAAAGACAAAACCTTCCGGCCCAAGCGCAAGTTTGAGCCGGGGACTCAGCGGTTTGAGCTGCACAAGAAGGCTCAGGCCTCCCTCAATGCTGGCCTGGACTTGAAAGTTGCCGTCCAGCTGCCACCAGGAGAGGAGCAGAACGACTGGGTGGCCGTGCACGTGGTGGACTTCTTCAACCGCATCAACCTGATCTACGGCACCATCAGTGACTATTGCACAGAGCAGTCCTGCCCTGTCATGTCGGGGGGACCCAAGTACGAGTACCGGTGGCAGGACGAGCACAAGTACCGGAAACCCACAGCCCTCTCTGCTCCCCAGTACATGAACCTCCTGATGGACTGGATTGAGGTACAGATCAACAACGAGGACATCTTTCCCACTAATGTCGGTGAGTTCAGTTCTAGCTGTGGCTGGGAGGTTGGTGCAGAGCCTTCTCCTTTGAGCCCTTGGGTCCCCTTTCTAGAATCATGGAATCACAGACTGGTTTGGTTTGGAAGGGACCTTCAAGCTCATGCAGCTGCAATCCCCTGCCACAGGCAAGGATACCTTCCACTAGACCAGGTTGCTCCAAGCCCCATCCAACTTGGCTCAGAGATCTATTCCAGGAGATGCTGTTGCACAGGCCAGCCTTGTAGCAGAGCTATTTCCTCTCGTGCTGCTCAGAGCCTGGCAGTGCAGTGAGCTCTTCTGAGCACCCAAAAAACTTCAGAGCTCTTCTGGAGTGCTAAAACACCCAGAGCTGTATCAGATCCCGTTTGGAGCCATGGATACCTCAAGTAAAGCCAAGCTGTGCCTAAGCAGTGAAAACAAGAGGCTGCTCTTAGAACAGTCTCTGCCATGACTCTTGAGCAGCTGACTCTTGAGCCGTGGTCTCCTGAAGGCCAGCTCTCTGAGAGCTGATTGCCAGGTTGGGCTCCAGGCGCGTGCTCTGCGTCGGCCGGGTGATGGTGGCCACGTTGCCATAATGAGGCTCTTTGTCATTCCAGGCTGGCTGTGGCTGACTCTGCCCTTTCAAGCTCAGTGCTTCCTGGCGTGTGCTCGGCTGTTGGTTGCAGCTGGAGGGGTGCTGACACGCGCATGGAGGGAGGGGCAGTGTTTCATCTATTGCCAGGGTGATGGAAAAGAGAATTTGGGCTAAGACACCTAAATCTGCGTACCCAAACGCAGCTTCGTGTGCTGGCTTTGGGACAAAGAGGGGTGGGGGGGGTTGTTTATTTTGTGTTGATGGGATAATTCAGTATCTAAGGCATTAAGTAAATATGATTCATCCCATTCAGAGCTCCCATCTTCTGGGATGCAAGAGACAAGATGCAGCAGAGCTCCCACCCTCCTGCCCCAGCATTTATCCCATGGTGGGATGCAGTTCGTCTCTGTGTGGGACACACCTGCCATACAAGTGTCCACAGGGCTATCCCATACATGCCAAAATGCTGCTCAAACCTGGTGGTGGGCAGGCAGAGGGGAGAGCAAGGCCACAGACTCCTTCAGACAGCTGAGACACTGAAATCCTCCCCCTGTTCCTCCTGTTGCCCGCACAACGGCTGCGTTGCCTTTAGCTAGGACTCTCCTGCGAGTCTCTCTGGGGACTACAAGCAGGGTGTTTGTTCTGCTCAGGGAGGCAAGACAGGTTTCCCACAGCAGGAGGCTTGTGGTTTGGAGGAGTTTTTAACTGTAATTGTTGTTGTCAGCTCACTTTTTACCAGATTCCTCACCCTCAGCACCAGCTGAAATGCTGCAGCTTTTGCAGAGCACTGAAGGGGTTTAAACTAATCCTTGTTCCTCCAGAAACAACCCGTGTGAACTTTAAACTGTGATGTATTGCCCTGGGATGGCTGGTGGGCCCTGGCTAAAGAAACCCCAAAGGACTGATCCCTTCAAAGGGACCTTAACATCTTTAATTTTTAACCAAAGAGCTAAAGACCCATCAAAATAAGAGAGAACTGTGAGGAGTTAACAGCCCTGACTCTTTCTTCTGGGGAGTTGTTTGGTCCTAGCTTGTGTTTTGTGTTCTCTAGATAAGCATGAGAAACAGGAGTAGAAGAAAACTCTATCGGACTGAAGTAGCTGCTGGGAATCTGGGAAGCTCCAAGGCCAGTTTCTTACAGCACTCAGTTGCTGAAATCTGTGCTTTGAAAAACCTGATCCAAGGCAAAAGGAGAGGGGAACTGGAAATTCATAGCATCCCAGCCTGGTTTGGGTTGGAAAGGACCTTAACATCACCCAGTTCCAACCCCCTGCCACGGGCAGGGACACCTTCCACTAGACCAGGTTACTCCAGCCTGGCCTTGAACGCTGCCAGGGATGGGGCAGCCGATTCCAGTGCCAGGGACAGAAGCCCTTTTGTCTCAGTCTCTCCGTTGTGTCAATTCATTTTAGCCCCAAGGAAGCAGTTCTAACCTGACTGACAGTTTCTCCTGGTGATGTCTTCCCTCCCAGGTACTCCCTTCCCCAAGAACTTCCTCCCAGTGGTGAAGAAAATTCTCTCCAGGCTCTTCCGGGTCTTTGTCCATGTCTACATCCACCATTTCGACAGGATCACCCAGATGGGGTCGGAAGCCCACGTGAACACCTGCTACAAGCACTTTTACTACTTTGTGAAAGAGTTCAATCTGATAGACACCAAGGAGCTGGAGCCACTGGTGAGTGTCTGGGTGGGCTCAGGGGACGCATTGGTCTGTCGGGCTCTGGGGCAGTGCAGAAGGGCTTGACTGGGGGTGGAGGAGTCACAGAGGCCTCCAGACCTTCAGAGGTCCCTTCCAGCCCGTGCTGTTCTATGATTTTATATGAGGAGTGATGGTTTTAAACTAAAAGAGGGACATTCAGGCTGGACGTGAGGAAGACATTCTTTACAGTGAGGGTGGTAAAACACTGGTGCAGGTTGCACAGAGAGGTGATGGATGCCCCATCCCTGGAGACATCCAGGCCAGGCTGGATGTGGTTCTGGGCAACCTGATCTAGGTGAAGATGTCCCTGCTCCTTGCAGGGTTGGTCTAGATGAGCTTTGAAGGTCCCTTCAGACCCAGACTAGTGTATGATTCTACCTTCTCAAAACCGGTTGCCCAAATTCAGGCCATCAGTTGGCCTTGCAGCTTGGCTGTCAGGAAACCAGGAGTGAGGAGGTGCAGACACAGCTCAGCAGGGTAGTTTGGGTATGGGATGGGAGAAGTTGACTTGTTCTCCAGCAACCTCCTTGCGTTTCTAGCAGCTGGCTTGCCTTGTTTGTGTGAGCCTGACACTGTTGGCCATCCAGGACGGGGATGTGCTTCCTTCCCTGTGCTTGCTTCCCAAAAGCAAGGGCAACGCCAGCACCTTCACAAGGAGTCTGGAGGATGGAGAACATGACCTGGTAGACCCAGGAGGTGGTGATGGTGTTCCCAAAGCTGTTAGCAACAGAGCAAACCTGCAGAGCCACTGGGCAGTGGAAGGGTGTCCTGTGGTGCTGTTAATGGGAGCGGTGGGGGGAACGCAGACCTGCCCAAACCGGAGCTCTTGGGAAGTGTCACAGTGTGGCTGACTAACCAAAGGTGAGGTTTTGTCCTCCACGCCCTCCCTGTCAGTCTGGACCTTCCTTCATGGGCCCTTGTCTTTTCTGTCCCTTTGACAGAAGGAAATGACCTCCCGGATGTGCCACTGAGCTCAGACCTTCCTGCTCCCACCGAGGACTCTGAGTCCCGCTCCTGCATGGGAGATGCGATTCAAGGGGAGAACAGAGACATTTTGTTAACAAATCTATATATTTTTAATGAGTTTCAATGTCAAACTGTGATACTGCAGGAATATTTTTTTAAAGATGCTCTAGATAAACTAGTTTTTTATAGTAATTTCTATTAAAAAAAAAGAAGAAAGTATTTGGGGCCGCTTCATGGGAATGCTCACTCTTGGAGGAGGGAAGAGCCACCCTGAGCTGCCTCCTCCTCATGCCCTCATGCAGCAGCAGCACCACGTGAGCCAAGCCAGATGCTTCAGATAGAGCCATGTCCTGTAGCTGGTGCTGCCGTGGAAGCGGTACTTCCCTCCAGACACCCAGTTCCCATGCATGAATGGTGTATGTGGGGTGGACGTGGATCCCCTGGGGTGCTGTTTGCTTCCAGCACCTCTTCCACTGGCTGCGAGTCCAGTTTTTGGACAGAGCTGCTTTTGTGCTCCCTCTCTGCCTGGCATCCTGTCCCCTCCTCGCTTTCCCTCAGTTGGATTTGGGTTTCTTCCATGGCAAGACCAGTGCTGCTGCTGCTCAGGTTGTGCTGCAGCTCTGCTGTTGTGTCTTATAGCAGCTCTGAGCTGAGCTTCTCCTCATGCCCAGCCCAGCCCAGGGATGCAGGCTGGCAGCCTCAGGCCAAGCAGACCTGTGCCTCATGGGGATGAGCAGAGGGAAGGCGCTGGGACAGGCATGGGGAGGTCTTCTTCTCAAAGACCTGCACTTACCATCTCCCTGCGGTACGCTGAGCCTGCCCAGAGGAACTGAGCTGCCTGCATGTGGGCCATTCTCTGCTTCCCATTAGGGTACGGAGCCTTGTCCCTCTTCCCGAGCAGCACGTCCCCACTGGGCTGCACGCATCCCCTAACCAAAGGGTCTGGTGTGCAGCCAGAGCCCGCAAGCCTTGCCTGCTGCTTGCACAAGCTGCTCTGCTGCGTGAGGGGAGCTTGGCAGTGCCCCCGAGGTAGGTAGGATTTTGGGGGAGTGGGGGCCAGGGTTTACAGGAAGAGAAAAGGTTTCTATGACCAGTGACCAAACTGCACCACTAACCGCTTCTTCCTTACAAGGTTTTCCTGTGTCCTGGAATCTCTGTACATACGTGACTATCATTAGGACACTCGTACAAATACCACTATAGTTCTCTGAAATGGAACCAATAAATTATGTTGTATTTACGTATCCCATTGCTGGATGTCTTGTGATTACTCGCTCGTCGGAGGCTTTCTCTCAGCAAAACAAACCCGATGTGTTTGGACTCCTCAGGAAGTACTGGGGAGCTGTTTCCTACAGTTCCTAAAGCTCCTGGCTCGGCTGCCCTAAGGTTTCATTCCTCCTGCTGTCACTTTGCCAGGTCTGGGCTGCTCTGGGCCCCACGCGTGTTCCCAGGGCTGTGGGGCAGAGCAGGCGGGTGCTGGAGCTCAGCCACCGGGCCAGGCTTGTCCTCACTTGTCTCTCTGCAGTGGTCCTGGACCCAATGGCTGAGCTCTTCTGTTCTCCCAGCAATAAAACCTGGCTGGCTGTGAGCCTGGGGGGTGAATTTGAACTCACCAGCATGTTCAGAAGAGCCCTGGGCAGAGCTCTCGTGGTCGAAGCTCTGCATTCAGGGTCTGCAGGTGATGCTCCTGCCCAGAAGAGGAGTTAAGGGGCTCCACAGCTGCTGCTCCTGCCTGTACCAGCCCTGGTACAGACCATGCAGGTCCTGCCTGCTCCCCTGCATGGCAGAGGTGCCGGGGCCCCTCTCCCTGTGCTTTGTGGGTGCAGCTCAGCTGGAGCTGCATCCCCCTGGCTGGGTGCTGCTGCAGGGTGCAGCGTGGCTGCCCGGTGCTGTGCTCAGAGCCCCCATCAGAGCTGGGCCCCACTGCTGCCCGTGCGAGTGCAGCATCCGCAGCCCCTGGTGTGCGAGGCCGGATCCTGAGCACAAGCTGGGGTGGGCACAAAGCTGCAGGGACCCAGTGCTGGGGCTGCGGAGGGGGGTGAGCAGTGCTGGCTCTGTGTGTGTGTGTGTCACTGCTCATCTGCTTCCCTTTCACACCACCTCAGTGAGCACCGTGTGCACCCGTCCCACTGCCACCCTCGGGGCTGGGGGGCTGCCTTCCTCTGCCCCCCCTTCCCCACTGGGAGAGGTCTGGCTGCTTTCACGTGAGACCGTCCCAACGAGGGCAGGAGGAACAATGGTGAGGAGCTCCCCATGTGTGGCCATGAGAGCTCGCAGCCCAAAACCCCCCATGTGCTGTGGGGCATCCCCAGAGCATGAGCAGCAGCTTGAGGGAGGGGATCCTGCACCTCTGCTCTCCTGAGACCCCACTTGCAGCACTGGGTGCAGTGCTGGAGACCTCAACACAAGGACCTGGAGCTGGTGGAGCAAGTCCAGAGGAGGCCATGAGGGTGCTCAGGAGCTGAAGAACCTCCTGCATGGAGCCAGGCTGAGAACACTGGGGCTGTTCAGCCTGGAGAAGAGAAGCTGCGTGGAGACCTCAGAGCAGCTTCCAGTGTCTGAAGGGGGCTACAAGGATGCTGGAGAGGGGCTCTGCATCAGGGACTGGAGCGATAGGACAAGGGGTGATGGGATCAAACTGAAACAGGGGAAGTTCAGCTTGGAGATAAGGCAAAAGCTCTTCCCTGTGAGGGTGCTGAGGCGCTGGCACAGGGTGCCCAGAGAAGCTGTGGCTGCCCCATCCCTGGCAGTGTTCAAGGGCAGGTTGGACACAGGGGCTTGGAGCAAGCTGCTCCAGTGGAAGGGGTCCCTGCCCGTGGCAGGGCTTGGAGCTGGAGGAGCTTTAAGGTCCCTTCACCCCAACCCATTCCGTGATCCTATATAGGTTCTATAAAGGCACCTTTAGGGGGGAAGAGCCGCTGGGGCTGGAGGTGCTGCTGCCGAGCAGGACGCAGCAGTGAGGACGTCGCCCAGGCGGCTTTGCAGAACCCTCCCTCCCCTCTCTGCTGGTGCCTCCCGCTCCCTGCTCTCACCTCCCTGCGGGGCCTTTGTGTTGACTCTCCCCGAGCTGCAGGCACCGGCTGAGCCGGTTCCGCTGCGGCCGGACCCGTCGCTCGCCGCATCCCTCGTGTGGCCGGGTGCTCCCTGGGCGCAGACCGAGGGCTCACCAAGGCGCTGAGAGCCCCATAGAGAACTCATTTGCCCATCTCCCGCAGTGCAGGGCCGGGCTGAGCGCGGTGCCCAGGGCTCCGCAGCCTCCCTCCCCTCTGCGGGGCTGACCCCATCCCAACAGCACAGATGGAATCAGCCCCGGAGCTGGAGCGGCCGCAGGAGCTCGGCCGCGGCGGGGGCTGCGGGGCCGTATGGTCATAGGGAAATGAATATCCCTGCTCTTTGGCTGGGAGCGGGCTCACGGCTGCTCCCGAGGATGGAGGGGCTCTGCCTGCGCTGGGTGTGGAGGAGCTTCAGGACCTCAGCTCCCGTTTGGGTTTGCTTTTACTTTCAGGATGTAAACCCTGTATTGAGGAGTCACAGAGGAACCAATCACGGAATCATGGAGCCCCAGTCCGGCCTGGGTTGAAGGGACCTTAAAGCTCCTCCAGCTCCAACCCCTGCCACGGGCAGGGACCCTTTCCACTGGAGCAGCTTGCTCCAAGCCCCCCATCACCGCATGTGCCCACCCGTCCCTGGTCTGTGGCCATGTCCCACCACTGCCCCCAGCACAAGCTCTGCCCTGGGGGGGTCCTTGATGGGGGAAGCCCCAAGATGTGGCTGCAAAGCCGGAGCTGGGAAACCCACACGGGTTTTCCCTCGGCCCCTTCCCTGCAGCAGACGGGGGTGAGGGATAGGAGCCACATCCCTGGGGATGCCCTGCAGTGGGGGGGGGCGGCAGCACTGGGGTTTTGGGGGGTGCTGCATCCCCAAGACCCTGCCCGCTGCAGGGTCAGAGCTGCCCCAGTGCTGTGGGGCTGCCCAAATCCCCCTGGGGCAAGGAGGGAGGTTGGGGAATCACCGCCACAGGAGCCAGCGCAGCCGGGTGCCCACAGGAGCCTTGGATGTGTGAGTGTGCCCCGTGTGCCCCCCACAGCAGAACCAGCGCTGGGAGAGCCAAGGCTCCGGGTTCTGCCTGGCAGGAAACTCCCGGGGTTTGGGGAGGTTTTGCCATTTGAGATGGGGCCAGGGCTCCGGGCGCAGGGGGGGCAGAGCCGGGCCCGGGACAGAGCGCACGGGAAAAGGATTTGTGGTGGTTTCCTTCCTTCCTTCCAAACGGGAGCAGCCGGTCAGGGGGGAAGCCCTGCACCCCCCATGGGCAGCCACCGTCCCACTGCTCCTGCCTGCGAGGGCTGCCCCATGTCCTGGGGCTGGCTTTGGCTCCGCTCCCCCTGCTCCCACTCCAACAATAGCGGCCTTCCGGCACGGCCCCGCTCACTTTCCTGTTTGCCCTCAGCCGGTGCCTGTGTGAGGGGCTCCATCGGCTCTTGGAGACCCCATCCTGGGGCACCGCAGGCGCAGGGACCGGAGCTCCCTGTGCGGGTTCCACAGTGGGTTTGCTGCCCGCAGCCCCCGGGATGTGATCAGACATCGGGGCCCTTCCATTGCCCCTTCCACAGGGAGACTGAGCTGAGCTCTTAGGCAGAAGCTCTTCCCTGTGAGGGTGCTGAGGCGCTGGCACAGGGTGCCCAGAGAAGCTGTGGCTGCCCCATCCCTGGCAGTGTTCAAGGCCAGGTTGGACACAGGGGCTTGGAGCAAGCTGCTCCAGTGGAAGGGGTCCCTGCCCGTGGCACTGGAGGAGCTTTAAGGTCCCTTCCAACCCAAACCATTCCGTGATTCCACGGGTTTATGAAAGCAGCCACAGGTGGGCCCCAAGGGGGATTTTTGCTGGACCCTGCATGCACCGAGGTGTGCGGGAGGGGAAGAGCCCCACGCATGGGACAGCACCAGCATGATCATGTGTGTGCGCATATGCATGTCTGCATGTACATGCATGTACAAGCCATCCCTTGAGCAACCGCATGGCCCCACAGCAACGCACCTGGAACGGCTGCACCTGCATGTGTGTGCACACATGTGCTGGCTGCACACGCATGTAGGGTACCTCCTGCATCCTGCTTTGCCCTCGCGCACGTGTGTGTGTGTGTGTGTGCTCTTGTGCATGCCTGGGGAGCACACGGATGC